GCCCGGCGGGTCCTCGCCCCGGCCCCCAGAGCTGGGCGCCCGGCGGGTTCTCTGCCCTGCCCACAGAGCTGGGCGCCCGGCGGGTTCTCTGCCACCTAGGATCTAGCCAACTCTGAAGGAAGCAACAGCAGTAGCAACATCCAGGAGAGCCCTCCCAGCACTTTAAGGAGACGTCGGGTCTCAGAGGGGTTGCTGCGTTAGTCTGGATCTGTCAAAGCCACGAGGGGTCTCGAGGCACCTTAGGGATGAACAGACTGACTGGGGTGTCGGCTTTCCTGGGTACAGCCTAACTCTGAAGGAAGCAACAGCAGTAGCAACATCCAGGAGAGCCCTCCCAGCACTTTAAGGAGACGTCGGGTCTCAGAGGGGTTGCTGCGTTAGTCTGGATCTGTCAAAGCCACGAGGGGTCTCGAGGCACCTTAGGGATGAACAGACTGACTGGGGTGTCGGCTTTCCTGGGTACAGCCTGCGATGCGGCTAACGAAGGGGGGTTTTCCAGCGCCTACGGGGCCCCAGGACACTGAAGCTCCGAGGCCACAGCGGGACCGGGCAGAAGCAGCTGTGGGAGGGAGTCGTGTCTGGCGCTCTTGGCCTATGACCGCCCGGCCTCAGATGGGCTGGAAAGACAGCGGCAGAGCTAAGGGAGCAGCGCTGAGCGCGAGGGCCCAGGGCCACGTGCTCTGGCCAAGCAGGTCCAACGCTGCCCAGCAGATGGCAGTGGTGCACAGCCGTCCCGGTGCCGGGAGATGCCATACTGCCCCCTGGCTTCCAGGAAACAGCACACTACCCCCAGCTCTCCCGCAGGGACCACGCGGGCTGCCAATGGCTTACCTGTTTGCAGGGCCAGGGTGAGCAGGGGTCAGTAGGGTCTGTTGGCATCTTTGGGCCGCTTTAGTTGGACCTTTAGCCTCTTCATGCCGATCTGGAAGCCGTTCATGGCCTGAATGGCTGCCTGAGCGCTAGCTGGATTGTCGAAACTGACGAAACCTGGGGGTAGGGGTGAGAGGGGGCGGAGAAGGAAGGACACAATTCGTCACCAAGCGCGCCAGAGACCCTCCCCACTCCTCACGCCGAGCCCCCAAAGCAAACCCAGCAAGGGCCTGGGGTCACCCAGAAGGCTTGGGGTGGGAGGGGGAGCCGAGGCTGGGAATAAGGTGACCACAGCCCCTCTGTGGAGACGCCAGCGCTGCCCCGGGGCCTGCGTCTGGAGGCGAAGTGCGCGATGCCCCCGCCCCCGAGGGAGGCCAGCGGAAAGCCGTTTGAAAGCAAAGGCCCCTCGCGCTCCCCGGCGGTAACTCACAGAGCAGCGAGGTGCAGGCAAAGCCCAACGGCTTCCGCCAAGAGGTGTGTACTGCTGTCAACGCGGCTCGGCTGCTTTGGAGACAGTCGGATCAACACCCCCCTTCCCTGCCACCGGGACCCTGAGCCTGGGAGGGCGGAGAACCTCCCCCCACGTCCTGAGCGCTGCTGCTGTTTCTGCAGCTGGGGGGCGAGACCCCAAACCCTCCATCCCGAGGAGGGACGTCACAAGCTCTACTAACCGCAGAACGTCCATTACTGGAAAGGCCCCCGAGTTCTGCAGGACTCCCCAGAGAAGGGGGGGCGGATAGGGCTGAACCGTGGCGGCTCAGAACTGACCCTGTGGGTGAGAGAGGCCCTAGGAGGATACCCCGTAGCTACACACCCCAACGCACGGCAGGGGTCTCAACAACACGCAGGCGACATAACCTCTGACCTCCTGAAAGGGTGTCACACGGAGGAGGGAGAAAACTGGTTCTCCTGGGCCTCTGAGGACAGGACAAGCAGCAATGGGCTTCAACTGCAGCAAGGGAGGTTCAGGTTGGACATTGGGAAAAAATTCCTGCCTGTCAGGGTGGTCAAACACTGGAACGAATTGCCTGGGGAGGTTGGGGAATCTCCGTCGCTGGAGATACGTAAGAGCAGGTTGGACAGACACCTGTCAGGGAGGATCTAGACCCGCGATTCTCAACCGCCAGTCCTAGTCTCTAGGATTCTCTGACCTTCCAGAGGATTTGTGAGCTGGGCTCCCTTTCTCCGCCTTGCCCCCTGCCCTGTCATGTACAGCTGTGCGCAGCATTTGCAGCCACTTTGCTGGGACGACATGCCAAGAAAGGTCCAAAGCGGAGACCAGTCAGGCTCCTGGGAATTGCCCGAGGGCTGCCGTGGCTGCTGTTGAGAACGCCCTTTGCTCACACAGCCCTGCCTGCGTGTTCATGCAGCCAGCTCCAAACCCGGGCCGTGCATTGCCGGATCCAGCACCCCACGCAGGCCCATCAGCGCCCCACTTCCTCCAAGAGCAGTCTCCATACAAACCGCCAGCCCCCGACCCCCGCGTCCTTCCAGTTCTCCACGTGGCTGGCAGGAGACCTCAGCCCAGTCCAGGACCCCTGAGACCCAGCCCCGGGGGCCTGGCGCCCCGCCGCGCCGGCCCCGCTGTACATTCGAAAGGGCCCTCGCGGCATTCTTCTCCCCATGCGACGTCTGCTGCAATAGAAAAGCCACGGGCTCCGCAGCTCCATTTGGCCCTGCTGCCAGTCCCAGCAGGAGGGCCGTGGAACTGAGCGCAGCGAGGGGGCACGTGGAGGGGCCGGGCACCTTCCTCTCCAGGGGCCACAGGGCGCCGATCCTTCCTGCCCTGTGAGCGCAGGGCGGGGCTCCGCGGGCAGCGCTGGCGGGGGGAGGGCTACAGAGGCAGCGGCGGTGGTAATGCAGTGAGAGCTGCTCATCGGTGGCAATAAAAACCTGCCCGGCACCTCCCAGCCCGGCCGCGCGAAGCCTCCTCTGCAGGCCAGGGCGAGTGAGGGCGGCGGAGC